GGGCTCCCTGTGAGGAAGCCAAAACGGTGACTTGGGGAAAGTCTTCAGTACATGATGACCCTGAACTCTTAGACCCAGCTGGGGCTCAGGGTTTCAAGTGATGTTGGCTTAAATTTTGATGTCTTTTCGAGATTTTCTCGCTTGGGGGGCTGCCGGACTGATAGTTTGTTGAGGTGTCTGCATGTCGCCAATGCCTTAGTGATTACAAGTAGCAAAGCTTAAGTTTGTGGCGTTTCTGAAGCATATTTTCGAACCTTTCATTGACATGTTGAGAATTCCAAGTCCTAACCCCGACCTTGTCCCAAACGAAGCCCTCAAAAGACCTGGAGCCCCGCACCCAGGACTACACCGTCACGTCGTCTGAGCAGCGAATTCGTCAGCCAGGGCCCTGCCTGCCCATCAGATATCACATGTTGTCGTGACGCCGGGTGAGTTCTTTCTTACTAAACTTGGCCCTACAGTGACGCATACTTATCCACTGATTCGTGCCTGGGTTTACCGGTCAGTGGCCGTGGTTCGTTGATGCTCCGGCGCCGCGGTGCGCCACCCATTTTTGGACTCCTACTGACTGCAGGCTGGCAAAGCCTCCGAGCAAAAACGACACGCGACGAAATGCCGATGGATCGAGCTTGATTGATGCCGCAAAGGTGGCAGCGTCCCTAGCTTCGTGTCATTTGATGCTTAGTTTTGCCTCAGCAGTCGGGTTGGGGACCTCAATTCGGAACATGGTCATGCCAAGAGCGTCGACACAACGCATGTGCATCATGAATCATGAGTGCATATGAGTGCTGGATTCTAAGGATCAGATGTTGCGGAAGCGTTGGCTGTTTGTCAACGCCAGGGCCCCTTCGTTCGTTTCAGTTCCGTCGGCACCAAGTTCTTGTCCGGATTAGCTGCCCAGGTTTGGCGTAACATTGCAGACACACCAGTGGAGAGTTTTCCCCTGGCTGCCTGCGACGCACAGTCCACAGCGGGGAGCCAAGGGTTTGAGATATTGACCGGTGATGTATGGTTTCTGGTTCTGAGACCAGTAGGTATTGGTTCCACAGCCGAGGCTCTTGATGACCTGATTGTCTTTGAGATCAGGTATGCAGATCGCACAGGCCACCAACTTAGGCATAAGTTCGAAGCGAATGCAGCTACTGTGCGCCTGCAGGAGAGAACTACTTTGCGAGGTACTCCCAGAAGCAGCGCTGGTTCTACTTCCCGAGGACATCTTGAGGAAGATATGTGTGCCAATGATCGATGTGGAAAACCTTATAGTGAGTAACCCTTTCACAGTAAATTCATAGCAACCTTACAGAGGCCCTTGCAAAGCTCATGGTAGCCATGTGCACCTCCGCTACTTCTCTATCTTCTGTGGCTCTGGGACCATTCTGTATGCCGGTGCGCTTTGTAACTTTGCCGGATAAGTGGACCTCCGCCTTCGAAATCTAATAGATTTGACAAGGATGCAGGTCTTTAGCATATCCAAGGTGCTTGGATGCGTCAAGGTAACGGTTTTGGCCTGTGCACGTGTAGCAGTGTAGACTCCTTAATATAATATGATATTACTCTAATGTAGTATAGTATAGTATCGTTTAGTAAAGTATAGTAATGTATAGTATGATACAGCCTCCTGGCTCGGGCTTCCTGTTGAACGCGATTTGTGAAACTCCTTGCTGCTCCGAAGCTGCCTGAAGAATCCGCGGCCTGCTCGTGAGGATGGAGAAGGACGAGGTGATGCTGCTGAAGTGCTGGGACTCCCGAGGTGCTCTTTAGCCGGGTGCGCCCTTGCATGCTTCGGCAGCGAAAGCATTCATCCACTGAGAAGTTCATGGACCCCAGATCTTCCCTTCACAGTAGAAGTACCAGATCTCCAGGCTGCGCCTGCAAGTCTGCGGCGACCCGTCCGTAAACCCTGATTACCTGCAAAGCTTGCTAGATCAAATATCCTAAACCCTCAACCCCACAAACCCTCGTGAGGCAGGGATTTCAAGCCCGAGGGCGCTGCCGAGGAGGTGCCGGCGACGTTTTCCTTGCACGGCTCGTTCGAAGAGGTGGCCGGGGCCTCGGCCGCGCTCATCTGTTAGTCATTGCTATTACTTTATGGTACTTTATGATGATTGTTGTTATGGGTATCATCAGTATCATCTTTGTAGTATATATTGGCATAATTCTTCGTCTTTCGTCGCCAGGGCTCACGTCCGCTAGTCTCGTTATCAAATGCCCCCTGACTGCCTGCAGCGTTCTCCCCTTGCGTGCACACACAACACACCTGTCATCATATTTCTGTGGTGGATACATATACATACATATATATATATATATATCTATATGTATGTATGTATGTATGTATGTATGTATCAAGTATATCACCTTGCAGAGCCATCAAAGCCTGAGGCAAGCGGTTCAGATGCCAAAGACCGAGAGAGCATCGAGGCGCAGCAACCCGTTATTGCCTTCCAGTACTGCAGCAAAAGCCCGACTTCAGGTGCGCTTGGTAGCCTTCTTCGATTGAGGGGCGGTGAACTGATCGACTTGGAAAATGCGCATGTTTTTTCGAGTTGTGTCAGCCTGCCGTAGCGCCGAACAGCTTGTGAGGACTGTCACCGTCCATCTCCAAAGCTTGGCTTACCACGGTGTACGCAGAAGCAGCACCTGCCACGAGGAATTACAGACACCTAAGGACTAAGACTTGACCGTGCTGCGTCACGGACGAGTGTGCATGCACTTCAACTCTTTACGCCAGCACAGACCAAAACGGCCCTCGTCGACCGCCCGCGATTTCTGTTTGCCGATGCCCCGACTCATGGAATGCTGGCCAGCAGCTCTTCAAGTCCTGCCGCGGCCTGAGAACATCGTTTCTTCTTGCATGGGAACCACCCGTGCCCAGAATCCCGGCGTGGCACCTCAGGCGCTCGCAACATCTCCACAGGACTCCACCTCAGCTCTGGCACGTTCGAGGTGGCACTTACAGAGCCTCGAGCGACGGTGGGCATGTCTGCTTCTTCCGGAGATCAGTACAAACTAGATATCTCGAACAGTTCTGCTCCACACAAGGCCACACGACGTGAGGTGTCCGTGCCGGTGTATGAGGCATGCAAGCACAGAGCGTAGGTCCTGCTCCTATGCTATCATGACTGCTTGAACGCACGCCAGCTTCCCGATGCCAGAAAACTTCTGCTTGGCCTTGCCAGGGTTCTTCCCTGACCACCGAGTTTCCCCAGCTGGTCCACCTGAATGTGGCAGGGTCTCCAGAGCAAGCAGGAGTCATGGTGGGCGATGTCTTGCTATTGCTCTTGGCGCTGCCATAGTTCGGATTCCGTTTGGGCTTGTCCTTGAATGCTTTCTCAGCGACTTCAACTAGAGATCTTTTCTCCTACATTACATGGCACGAAGAGACAGAAGTTGGTATTATGGCTTTTGCAAACTTCCTCCGTCGAGTGCTCAGAGTAGGATCCTTTAGGCTTCTCCATCCCAGTGATGAGCCGTGGGCCTTCCGTTATAGGGGAGTATTCAGCCTACCTTTGAACAGCTCTTCCGAAAGTACTTGTCCTCCTTCTAGTGTCCTTACCAACGACTCCTCTTGGCCGCGCCCCGCCCCCCCTTCTTCCGAGGGCGGTCGGAAGCTGATGACAACCCTGGCCACCTTGCAGATGGACTCCGACTCCATGCCCGGGGGCCCAGAGAGGCAGAGCTTTTGGGAAGGATGGAGATGTGATGTGGGAGTTTCCGAAAATTAGGGGTTCCTTATTTTGGGGTCCTTCTAATAAGGATCCTACTATTTAGGGTACCATATGAGGGTCCCCTATTTTCAGAAACTCCCATGTGGCAGCGTACTATAAGGTTGGGCCTGATGTTCAGTGGCAAGCTTCCCGCCGGCAGCCCGGTGCTCGCGTTGTCTGTCTACAGCTCTTTCTACTCTGTTACAAGGTCCTTCGAGACGCCGACGGCTGCTTCTTCATCGACCGCGATGGGAGGCATCGGCAGGTTCTCAGACTCTCCAGGAGAGGCGTGGAAGCTGCCCCTTGTCAGGCAGTTCCACCACATCCTCAACTACCTGAGAGACGGCACCCTCCCTATAGGCAGGATGCCATGAACGGGAAGAGTGGGCATGGCTCTCAGATCACCCCCGCTTCACCTCAACTTGAAACGGGTTCCAACATGATGGAAGCAAGTAACGTGATTTCACAACCACAGCCCTCTCAGTTGAATGAATGCCGGATTGCTCTTCGGACGTATCTTTGCCCGTTCTAAGTGTGACCCTTTTACGTTGATCGCACTTGAGCCAAAGCCAAGAACACCGAAACTCCTACACCCAAAGCACGTACAACTTACAAGGGATATGAGGATGTACCGAGGAGCAATAGGAAAGGAGCTTGACAAATTATGCTTGGATTTACGGTTTTGGTAGCTTGCATTTCACCACATTATTGTGCACGCGGCGCTAGCCTCTTGTGCAAGACGCTCGGGCTCGCAAGTTATTCGCACACCTTGCGTGGCACATTCATGTCTCGTTCAATATCGGTACGCACATGATGGGGCGCTGCAAAGCAGACCGGCCCCACCACCGCAGCGTATTTGATGGTTTCTTGATTGAAGCCTGTAAAGAAGACCAAGGTCAAGCTCAATGTCCCAGGCCCTGTAAACTTTCGCACAGAGCCAGTTTTTGCTAAGGGCCAAAACCTTAACTAACCCTCTGCCTGTAGCCCGAAGCCCTCCCTCCAAAAAAGTTCCGTGGCCCGGAGGCCTTTCCCGCGTAGATCGCCTGGAGCTTCTGCGCGAGGCCACGGCTTCGGCTGTGCTGAGCGCGGTGGGGTTTCAGCCGGTATGATCGAAAATTTCTTTTAAGGTTTGAAAGCATCAAGGCAGGCTTGATGCTGAATGTAGAGGTCGGCGTCTTATTCACATCATCCACTTCGCGAGTCGACTCGGGCATGAGCTTTCGGGAAGTCAGGTCCATGCGTCTTTAAAAGACCTCGAAAATCGCCTATCCCTTTAAACCCGCAGCATCCCGCAGCACTGTGTACCCTAAACCAATCAATGACTAACGCAGGGCCCCGAAATTCCGAAAGCCTCAAACCCTCAACCGGTCTTCTTCGCAAGATGCTCGGGCTCAAAATTGGCCCAGCGTGAACCAAGTGGTGCGGTTCGACGCCATGGCGGATGAACCCGAAGGCCGAAGATCCCAATGTGAGCCGAGATGAACTGTTCCATATTGTGAGAGATGGTGACTATGTTGATGCCAAGAAGGCCTTAGCAAAGGCAGATATGGCTTGGCGGCATACAGCTCTGCAACAAAATTTCTTGTTCTTTATTGCTGCACGGCGCCGCCGGGGATCCGAATTATTAGCAAGGCAGTGCATCGAGATGGGTGTCAATCTAGAGGAAGTTGATGCACACGGTCAGACGCCTTTATTTTACGCTGCAGCGCGCGGCAATTTGGTCATAGTGAAATTCTTGCTTAATCTGGGGTTTGAAGTGAACTTCGCCAGGAAGTCGGCTCTCTTCTTTGCCATTGAGAAGAATCACATGGACGTGGTCGACTACCTGATAGAACGTTCTGCCTCTACATTAGTTCGGGCCTCCGACGGCAAGACGCCACAGTCGATGCTCAAGGCAATGAATCACAAGGCCCCCAGCAGGAAAAGAGAGCGGGTGTCACCAACACCAACTTTCGTGTGCCCGGGCGCGGCAACACGGAGCCGTTTTGCCCGGTGGGAATGGGCCGGGGCCCAGGAGGAGACTGAGCCACTGTTTGACAAGAAGGAGGACAACGTGCTCGTGGAGAACGCGCAGTATCTCAGTTCACAAGTCAAATTGGCCGCTGCACGAACCCGCAAGAACAAGATCACAAGAACAAAAACAAGTACAATAGCAAGATCGCAAGAACAGGAAGAATAATCAGAACACCACCAGCAACAAAAAAGCACAATCAACAAAAGACACCAACAGCAGCAACAACAGCGACAACCACTGCAACGACAACAAACAAAAGCAAACAACACGACGACACCATCATCACCACCACTACTAACGACAGCAACAGCAACAGCAACAGCAACGCGAACAACAACAGGAACAACGACGATAACAAGAACAAGAACAAGAACAGTACTAGCAATAGCAACAACAACATCAACAGCAACAGCCATAGCAACAGCCATAGCAACAGCCATAGCAACAGCAACAGCAACATCACCAACACCACTAACAACACCAACATCACCAACACCAACACCACCACCACTACCACCAACCACAACAACAACACCACAACCACCACCAACAACAACAAGAACTTGGGATGTTTGTGTGTGCGAATGTTTTTGGAAATCTTCTTCTAACTGGACAACTAAGGTACTACGTGTGTGCATCAGTGACAGGGTGTTCGAAACGCCTCCGCCGTTCGGAACGGGAGTTTGTTGGAGATCACGCACATCTCCATCAACAGGAAACCTGGTACAGCAACTTGACTCCTGAGAATTCTGCCGCGCTCGTGAACGTGAGCATGGGTGACGAAAAAGCACATGAGAAGATTGTTGACGAGTTGGCGCAGGGATCACGGCCTCGTGCCTTCACGCTGGCAGCAGTGTCGCAACAGACTCGCACACTCGCTGGTTATGTGTATGCATCTTTCACGGACGAGACGTTGAAGATCGGCCAAGTCAAAGTGGACCGCCCCCATCAAGAACGGGGACTAGGCGGTCTGCTTCTCAAAGCGGCCGAGAAGCGAGCACAGAACTTGGGAGCATCCATCTCGAAAGTCAAACTCACGGTCCTCGAAACCAACACAGGGGCTCAAAGATGCTATGCAAAGTCGGGGTTCAAGGTTACCACGACATACTCGTCAAGTTTTCCACAGTGCGATTGCAAAGCTAAGCGAATCCCTTGCCACCATGAGAAGATCCGGTGGTACAACATGGAGAAAGCTTTGCCTGACAACACGGCCTGAAAAACAGGCTGCTTCCCGGTGAGGGTTGAGGGATAGGCGCTCCCGGGATTCATGCGTGGCGGCTCAGGGTTTGGGCCTCGAGTTCAAGTGTTTTTCAGACGACACCGGCCCGAAAACCCCTGAATCTCAAAGCTCGGTGGCGAGGCGGACTTCTATGGGCTGAAGGCGCTCTACAGCTTCATCGGTGGGTGCCGGACTTGGCCAGGAGTTGGGTCTGCTTCTTCTGCCTGCTTCTGCTGATGACGGTCGTGGTGCTAGTTAAGCCGATGCTGATGCTCATGTGCTGGTGTTGCCGACACTTGCTGAGCTAATGCTGCTGCTGATGGTAATGATGCTGACGATGACGACGGTCGTGGCACTCGTACGATTTGGCAACACGCATCATCATTGGTACACTGACGACGTGTTTGGAGCTCAAGGCAATTTCCACAGAGATGAACCAAAGCGTCGTCAGCATAGCGGATGGTGACGGCAACCTTAATCGAGACGATCGTTTTGAAGCTGTGAGAGATGGGCAATTGGCTGAGGCCAAAGCTTCTTTCGGTCAGGGGTTGACCTCGAGC